GCAGATGGTAAGTTTATGATAAATTAAACTTTAATGTTTCAGGAAATATTTTCATTTTTTGAAAATTTTCAATTTATTGAATATGTTTATGCTTCTATAAATTTATGAGAAACACTAAGGAATATTGATATGATGTATATCAAATAAAAATTTTCTTAATATTGAACTCAATCCTGAACCAAAAAATGCAGTTTTTATCAATACTCTTGATAATAATTCACTTCTGCAAATAAATTTTTAAATATCATAATCTATAAATTGAAATCACAATTAGACCGCTATCGTTTTTTGAAAACATTCTTTTATATGAATTCTCTTGTATTATAGGATAAACAGTTTTAATTCACATTGAGATAAAATATTAGATTATAAAATGATCGAAATCTTGTTCGCTGCTACGAATCAAAATGTGTTCACTTCAATATCAGAGTATCTTCTTGTGATTTTGAAGTGCACTCTATCAAATACTTTTTCCTTCAGGATTAAATTAGAATATTTATTTTCGAAATTGAGGATGTTGATGTACGCTTGGATAACATGCTGACTTTTTTATTAAATTTGTTAGATGACTTAAACTGCACTCCTCGATAGATTATTACTCAAATATTGTATATTTTTCGACATTTTCTCAACTTTGTATACAACGAGAAAAGAGTTGAATTCTTTAGAAAACAAAAAAAGGTATCCATTATAACTTTTTAGTGTCGACTATGTTTAATCAAAACTATTCATCTGGCTATAGGACATATTGTTTTTGTCTCTTATCTTTAGTTGTTCCATTTATAAATGGATCATGTGCAACCTGGCATTATTCTACTACTCCAGATCAAACGATATCTACTTACTTAGATGAATTCGTCTACAATCGATTTTGGTGGATAAACGATTACGTTATTGTTGAAGATGACTCGTATGGACGATTAATCTACATGGCTGATATAGAACATGAACGATTAGTACGTTATTCAATTGGTTGCCAATCTATGATACAATGGGACATGCCAAAAATTAATATTTCTGCATTATTTATTAGATATGACTTTCTATATTTATTTGATCGAACGAATTATCGTGTGGAAAAGTGGTTGATAAGAAATTCCTCACTTGCAAGTCGTGAGATTGTTGCAGGAAATCATGGTAATGGTTCTAATATCAATCAAATTTCTTATTGTCCTGGTGGTGGATTGTATGTTGATTTAGAAGGAAATATCTATGTCAGTGATCGAGTTAACCATCGTGTAACACGTTGGAATAGTAAAACAGGCGTTGTTCAATTAGTAGCTGGTGGCCAAGGAGCTGGAACGAATTATTCCCAATTAAACCATCCAGCAGGAATCTATGTTGATGTTGCACGTGGTAATAAGAGTGACGGATCTATTTATATTGCTGACAAAGACAACCAACGTATCATGCGTTGGAAGCCAAATGCATCTGTAGGAGATCTTATTGTTACTGATGTTCGGATTAATGGGAATAAGACATATTTGTTAGACTCTCCAGATGCGATTGTTGGTGATCTTAGTGGATATATATACATTAGTGCCCATAGTACTGTGTCTAAATATTTGATTGATTCAAATTCGAACCAATATTCGGAACCGATTATGGATGATATGCCGTTTGATGATTTGAGGTGGTTTCCAGGTCGTCTAAGATTCGATAATCAGGGTAATATTTATATTTACAATAGACTTGCACTAGGAAACGTTTTAAAACAACATAATATCAATCAAACAAGATGCTGTAAGTTGTTTTCACGTGCTTCGAATTCATATCTTTTCTGTATTTCTTTCAAACTATTCTCTAGTATCTAATAACACAAACATTGGTACTCGACTGCTGAACGAGACAACCAAAGACATCTCTAATCCAAGTAGGGTTTTTTTCTTAGTCAAATAAAGAAAATTTCTTGATTACAGTGAAGAAACAACTTTTGGACGAGACTGATCATGACATATACCTTCTTGAGAGTATGCTTATGTAAGTTTTAAAGTTAGAAAACAGTCCTAAATTAAACAACTCAAACATCTGTTATTAAGGAAAAATAACTGTTTTATATGGAGACTTGGATGTTTCTTTATATCATGCCATTTTATTTCAAGAGTTCAAGACATTACTTTTCTTTGTATATATTTCACATTTTCTAAGACACTTTGTCTCCTTTAGCATTATATATTCTCTCGTAAGAGACTGTTCATACTTTAAAAATAGACGAATCCTAATCGATTGGAGAAGAATTTTCAACGAAAAAACAATCATGGTTTTTGATATCTAATTACTTTTCCTCTTTTGACAAGACAAAGGTCTGTTTAGTCAATGATCCGATCATTAATAAATAGATATATCACTTTCAATGATAAAGTTTTATTGTCTATGTTTATCGTTCTACCTACGAGATAAATATTGAGAATATATTGGAGTTCGTTACTAAATTGTTTTCTAAAACAATGCATTACGCCGTTCTGCTTTTAAAAGGGTAGATAACTATTTTTTGAAGTTTGTAGAAAATGCCCACACCCTTGTGAGACAATAATTATTTGATTAGTACTGAAGTAGGAATCTCTTGTGAACCGTTACTGCTGTAAAGCAGTCTTCAATTGAAATAAGTCATGGTTTTCAAAAGAGCGAGAGACATCTTTTGAAGATGTGAGACTCGATGAGGGTGTTGTTTATTACCACGAGCGCCCATATCCACATAGTCAGGTATATATACACCTTATAGACTGCTGTGATGTTTTATTCAATTTAATAGTGTGAAACTAAATGAGTTTTTGCGCCCGATTTTCTAATTCATTTGAGATATTCAGATGTTCATCTCGTCGATAATAATAATTGTTTTTAATTCTTTAAATCGTTTTCTCTTTATTGCTTTTTTTGTCATATGTACTCGTTGTCTCTTGTAAGGATAGCAAACAAAGAAGGTAGATGATTGCAGCTATGTAGATGTTAGTAAGCACTACTGCATCTATAGATGTGCCTTATATACTCTTTAGACTTGCCGACGATAGCTTTTAAATAGAAAATTAGTTTAACATAGAGTGTCTCAATGGAATGATGATTTTGTCTCACTATTGAAATTACAGCTTTAAGAAGGTTAAGGACAATTTTAGACTCTAGGAAAGCGTTAATGGTTGACATCTATGTTCTACACTAACTTATGTCGGGTTTTACTGAAGATTTGTTCTTGAAAGGGACTTTTCGTTTAAACTTTAAATCCACTTCTTTATTCTCATTGTTCTTCTTTTTCCTAGAAACGTCAAATATGAATATGATTAATCAATCAACAGCATTATGTTTCGAATCGCTATGGAATACTGAAACTCCTATGATTTATCCACCCAAAGGTCAACTCATCGAGAACAATTTTCTATTCGATGGTGTAGCCTATGATGATAGAAATGAGACTTTCTATATTGCAACTCAACTCCGAGGTATTTTAAGATGGTCACCAACATGTTCATCAACTTTATTTCGTCAGTACAGCGATGGACTTTTTTCACCAAAGGCAATTTTCTTACAAGGAAACAAGCTTTACTATTATAATCGTGATTATAGTTATGTACAAAGATGGACGATTGGTACTTCATTTAATGATCGTCAAAATATAGCTGGCACAGGTATAAAAGGAAATAATTTGGATCAACTCGGTGAATATTGTCGTGGTATTGTGGTAGATCAATCTGAAAAGTATATTTATATAAGCGATTCACTTAACCATCGGGTTGTCAGATGGCTAGCAAATGGTGCAGGAAATCCTATGGTTATCGCTGGAAATCAAAATGGTCAAGCCGGATCATTATTATCAGAGTTAAATTATCCGTATGGATTACATTTAGATGAACGTAACGATGATCTTTATATTGCTGATCATCTAAACTACCGTATAGTTTGTTATTCACTTCGGGATCCACAAAGATTGGTACGAATTGTTGCCGGAGGGAATAGTGAAGGAACGAATCTTAATCAACTACGCAGGCCTATGTCTATCGTAATAGACCAAGAGCAAACGATGTACATAGGTGATTACGGTCGAATAATACGTTGGATGAAAGAGGCACAGCAGGGACGAATACTAATCGGAGATAATAACTTCACTGGATTTCTAACAACAAGCAATTTTTCATCAAATTTTATATCGTATCCACTAGATATCAATTTCGATAATGAAAACAATCTTTATTTTGCCGATATGCTAACACGTCGGATTATGCAAATGAAGCTAGATAATAGAGTGTGCACAGGTATGTCATTCTATTCATATGATTTAGGGCTCTTTATATTTCAAAAAAGGATAAAATTGGTTATTCTTCTATAGTAGATAATATGAATAACACGACAGTGACCACATCTCCAACTCCTGAAGTAACAACAAGTCAGTGTAAGTATTCATCGAATGCTATTTCTGAAGACGAAATCATATTTGAGTTATGTATTCAATTAAACTGGTAGCTTCATGTAGATGAGAAAATAATTATTGTAAATTTATTAAATTTTTGATAAATAGTCGATAACCATTTAACATCTCTATAATGAAAATCATTTTAGCAGTATTTAACTATTGGTTTCATCCTTTGATAAATTTTATTCCAAGTATTACTGACTCAATTGATAGCGCTAAGTATATGTATTGAGATTCAAGATGAAATCTCGAATAGATCGCTTTGATTTTGTTCTCAGAATATATGACATTTTTCTTTTTTCTTTTATAGTTCTCAAATAGTGATCCTTATCTAAATTTTTTCTTGTATATAAGCATGTCGTGAATACAAGTCGATTTTGTATTCATTGTCATACTTTTCAAAATTCAATGTCTGATTCATACATTTATCGAAACAAACACCTACTCTAATAGCTCACTTGCTTGCGTCAATTTAGAGAGTGTAATTCAAAAATAACTTAAGTTGATCCCAATCAAAAAACAATTCACATTTCACAATATCATAAATTATTGTTTTCAGTTGACTTTAGTGTAAGCAAATGTAAAAAGATCCAAATAAAAAAATAATGATAGTGAATGAAAATTAATTATGATTCTGTACTTTAAAAATGGCACTTTCAACCATTTCATTCTAGATAACACCACGACTTCTAATGGTTTCCAGTGTTGGACAACAAGTGCTTCTTTTACAATTATTTTAGAAAGTGATGGCATAAACTTTGGTTCCATTTATGATTTAGTTCTTGACGAAAAAACCAATACGATATATCTAGCGGATATGGACAAACAACGTATACTAGAAGCACAAAAATTCGAGTCATTTTGGTGGATATCGAAAGATATATCTTTCGCCAAACCTGTAATTCCTACAGCACTTCATCTTCATCAAAATGGATGGCTATATACTGCTGATGCAAAAACCAATGAAATCAAGAAATATCTTATTGGAGGACCACGATATTCATTACAAACTGTCGCAGGTGGAAATGGTCTTGGAGCTAATCTTAGTCAAATTACTGACTGTTATGGTCTCACTGTGGATGCAGATGCCAATTATCTCTACGTTAGTGATTTCAATAATCATCGTGTTAGTCGTTGGTCATTAAAAAAATTAGGTGATGTCATTACTATAGTTGGAAATTCGGGTAATGGCAATGGATGGAATCAATTATCGTATCCCAGAAGCATACATGCCGTTGGAAATTATCTCTTTATTGCTGATACGAACAATAGCCGAATCGTAAGAATTAATCTAAATAATATACAGAATAAAACTTTAGTTAGACTATCACAAATAAATATCTATCAATATAATTTAAATCGTCCAACATCAATTACAAGCGATCGATATGGTCAAATTCTTTATATAGCAGATCAGGGTCGTATTTTGAAATGGTGGTTTGATCGAAAATGGGTTGAAGTATTGATTGATAATAAAATAAATGATCTTGGCAATGAAATCTATGGATTAAGATTATCTAAAGATGAGCAATATTTATATGCAGTAGATAAATCGAAAAATCGAGTATTACAAATCAATACTATGATTACAAAATGTGGTAAGTTATTCTTGTTTACTTTTTTATCTTGAATTGATATATTGAATTTTTTAAAAGTAATAATATCAATCAAGAAGTAATACTAGATAGAGAATTTTATCTGTGTTTCTTGTTTGTTTAGATAGTGGATTTAGTAGCTCTGCAACAAAAACAATATATTTACCTTTTCATGCGTATCTATTGCTGATATTTATTCTTAATATTGTAATCAAACTTAAACGATAAACACTTTTTTTTTAACTTATACTAATAATTACTGTTGCTTTTATATCATGACTATTACTCGTGTATTCTTTTGTCTATTTTCTTCTTTATACAGCATGATTGTTATGCGTATATTAAAAATAAATCGAAGAAGGTTTTATCTTTTTGCTTCTCACAATGGATAAACATTATAATCGAATATCGTTTTAATTGTGTGTAGTGAAATACAATCTTTCACAGAGAAATATGATTTATCATAGAAATGAAACTAATAGCAAAAAAAAAAATATTAATGTTTTAAAAACTTATAAATGATTAATCTGTGTTACGCTTATTTATGTAAGTTAAAGGAAATAAGATTTTGAATCGATTATTTTTGTTTTATTTAATTACAAGAATAAATCCAATAGTATCGTCAACATCAATTTTAGTTTATTGCAACTTGAAATGATAATGTAATATATCCAGTATTGAATACACTTAATTTATAATTTGTCTCATCGAAGAAACATTGAGAAAATATACATCTTCTGCATGAATATTAAAATTTCACTATCGAATTTATATTATTAATATGTTTTATATGTATAGTTATCATAAGATGTGTTATATTTGATAATTCAGATCATCCTTATGTCTGTACATGAAAGTCAAACAATGATGCAAACAAGTTCATTGAAATTACAAGAATGATTAAAAATAAGAGTTGACTAAGAGTATATGAATTATTTGTAATTATTCAATGTGAAATTGAATTGTTATATTCATAAAATATAAAATTATTGTTTTTTTAATACATTTGAGAGTCTTCCATTTGTCAATAGATAATCAGAATAAACGAAATACACAAGCTAAATTCATTAGAATTGAACTATTATCGATTCATTTATATTGATGATAAATGAAATGGAAATATTCGATGTTTATTTTTTATGAAGATTTTAATTAGAAGATATGAAGAATCCAAAAAATTGTTGAAACCGATAATTGAGATTTGAAAAAGGCTTTTCTTACTGTGATGCTAAATATAAATGAAATATCTAAAATCTAAAAGAGGTTTATTTTGGAAAATTCCTTATAATAGAATCTATCGTTTTTTTTAATTTACTTCATTACTTTACTGTTTCTTTTTTTTTCTATAGGTAATATAAATTGATAAAACCGAATGGAAACGATATCTCTCATTAGTTATTTGATTATTCCCGTTTTATGCACTCAGAAACAATGCACATATGCAGAATTCTCTTGTTGTTTTATTAATTTATTGAGAAATAATAAATGTGATTATTTTTTTTATAAAACATTATAAATAAATGTAAAGAATGATTCAATTCGTTCTAATGTAAGAATATTTCATATTTACTTGAAACACTTTTTTTAGGATGAGTGTGGAAGTTAGTATTAATTTCACATTCACACCCACACCTATCTTTTTAGTTCAAATACGAACGCATGCATAAAGTTATCTGAGAAATAAGGTCAAAACAATAGAAATTGTTTTCTAGAGTTTACACAAAAGTCTCAATTGGAGTGTAAGTTTGAGTGTACATTAAATATACAAGTTCTAATTGAAACTTCAATCACATCCTCAATATTTGAGTATTGTTTTATTTTTTGGAAAATATAATCAAATAAATATTCAAGAAAAAGTAAACAAAAAAAAAATAGAAATTCCTTATAGAGACTATAGATTAACATTGATGTAAACTTTCAACCATAGAACGATACTATTCGACTTTTTTTTGCGCCTGATATTTCCATAAATATCGAGATAAATCAATTGTTCAATTATTTCACGAAGATTTTGCTCAAAAATAGCAATATGTTTCACTAAGAATAAAAATAATTTCTGAAAAATTCATATATCAACCTAAGAGGCGAGTTGCATTAAATTCCTAGTCTTTGTAAAGCTAATTTAATATAGAATTATTCGAGTCTTTTTTGACAAAAACGTCACAGATACGAGCACTAACCATCGTTGTATTAAATATATGCTACTCTCATATTTGTCCAAGTAGAAACTAATGAATACAACAAGTTTCGCTGTTAATAGAATGATTAATATCAAGACAATATTGTGAAAAGTTTTCATGATTTGGTAGAAAAAAGTTTTTTAACTTTAGTGACAAACACTTTATTCTTTCAGCATTATTTCATAGCCTCTTAGTAACAATAACGTCAGTAATATCTATTCTTCAAACAGTTAAACATTTCACAGACTCAATGTACAAGATATTTCTCTGCCTAAATTGCTAAGAACTAAATGTTGTCTAACGAGGGCGATGTAAATAACTCAAATAGTTATATCTATGACGCTCTCTTTTAATGATTTTTTTTTCTTATAGAAAACATTCGAGTCATCACATTTTGCGATGAGAAATTGCAAAAATTTGTATGTGTTCTACGTTAAAAATAGACTAATGAATAATGTTAGTTTTTATGCATCATATGTTTTAGATATTTTTAAACAGAAAATATTTTTATATTACATGTAAATTAGTTTTCGATATGGAATTCAAAGACGTTTAAATAATTGCTCATAGATCTAGAATACAACGAGTGGCAATTCAATCTGATTCACTCTTTATTTCATGCACATACTGATAGATTCAGATGTTTGTGAAGTTTTTATGCATTATGTAGTTAAAATTTGGCAGAAATCTCCTGTTAGATATTCTAGGCGAATTTGAACAAAGAAAATAACTTCAATAATAAATTTTATTATGAAAAAATTCTTTTAATAAAAAAGAAAACTTTCGATCAACTCGTCAGAGACACTTTCCAATTTTGAAATCGTTTTCGAGTTCGGGCTTTATGCATAAGATAGATCACAAGAATGTATGAAAAAATTCATAAGGATAAATTTATTTCTGGTTTTATGTTCAAAATTTAAGACATTTTATTAGAATTTTAGTTCATATTTTAATATCTATCAACAAATCAAGGGACATTATTTTTACCTGAGATTTTACTCATAGAAAGATACATTGAACTTTTAAATCCACAACAGAGAATACTATGAGATCATTTTGAATTAATGAATCTGATAATTTGCACGCACATTGCGTATCATAAAATCTACCAAAAGAATATTTTACCTTTGATTATTCATATGAAAAGATTATTTTTCAGTCAATGATTCTCCGAAGATTTCAATTCCAAAACGATCAAACAGTTGAAAAGCTTTTATTAAATCTAGTCAAACGAAATATAACAAATAATCATTCTTATCAAGAGTCTCACTGTCAATATTTTATCGAGATTTTCTTTTTCTAGTGGGTGATTGAGATTTTTGAAGAGGCTGTTGGCTAATCAATTTTTTGCCATGTAATAAAGATTTTTATTAACAATATTATTTGAATTATCGTTAATTTCACTTTTTTTAGTTGAATTATTTTCAGAGTTCTCTAGATTTTCTTATCTTTTAAAATCTGATAGAAGATCCTTTTGTCCTGCTGATATTTATTTAGTGATGGATCGTAACGAAATTGAATAGAATGAACATGTTTTATGTGAAGTATGCAAATCGACAAAAATATTAGCCCGATAGAAAAATGATTTTTCGGATTTAGGCTCGTTGTAATCTATTATTATGACTCTACGAATAATCGACTATTCAATGAACAGTCGAACTGAATTTTTATGAATACTATTCGTATCATTCAGTTTTTTGTTTGTTTTTATTTGGAAAAGACATGTTATATTATCATTGAGTTATGAATGACTATAAAGAGCAATATATATTGTATAAGACAATGATCAATATAACGGTTTTCAACTAAAAGTTATAAGAAACTTCTCACGTAAGAAACGTTATATTGTCAATTTAAGACAAGGATGAATGAAGAAATATAGCAAAGTTATTTAAGTTATGTAGAAAATAGCTCATTTTATATTTATCAAGATCAACAGTTACAAGAGAAACATAGGAAGGACGCCTTTCTACGTGACGTGAAAAATCGACTAATATTTGCCGAGAGTTGAGAAGAATGTTGCAAATTTCGTCAGAAAAAACTCATACGTCTGATACGCAGAAAATTCAAATAATACCCGATTGCTCAATCGTTCACCACTATGTCAAACACATAAAATGAATCTACTTGTTTTTATCAAGTAAACTATATATTTGTTGATGGACGTCAGCTAGTCTGCTTACTCAATACATAAATCACTAGTGACTGTAAACGAAAACAAACGATAGTTGTATTTCAATTATAGTTATATTTACACATTTTATATATCATAGTGACGTAATCAGATGTATGATTATTAAGCAATCACCTAAGCTATAAAAAAAATTTGTTCAAAATTTTCTCGAGATCGTGATGATTGCCCGTTAATATTTATTTTCCAAAACAGTTTGATTAGAAAATTGCTTATTACTAAAAAAAAATCGTGGATATGTCACTAATTTTCTCAATTAAACAAAATTGAACGTTTATTAACAAGATAAAATTCATTCATCCTTAATCAAAGCGTTTGCCCAATTTAAATTTTAGACAATCAAAGATAATATTGATCTTAGGATTGCCAAATGAAAAATAAAAACACGTTTTAATTATAATTGAAAATTTTCTTTGAATTTTAATAAGTACAACAATATATATGTATATATATATTTCAGAATTAGTCGAAGAGAAAAATATTATTTAAAGAAATTTCTTTTAGCTATGAGTCTCTACTTACTTGATGCCCAAGGAAAATCATCCTTTCGCCAAAAAAGGTAATGTTTGCCAATTTAGCGTATAAATACTGAGAGTAGACACAAGAGTTTTTCTCTGTATGACTTGTTTCATTTGAACCAGCATGACAGCTCGTAAGACAGAATTCAGCCTGTTTAACAGTAGTCAATGCCTTTTTTCTTAGTTTATCGGATGATTATAAATAAAAATCATTTTAAATTCTAAGATTTTATTTGACAAAAAAGAAATGTTTAGAATAAGAGAAAAAGAAACTCTAATGAGAATTCAAGCACAAAAATAAAATCGCATCGCTTTTCCTTCTATGTAAATAATTAATAAGGAGAAGATAGACCAGGATGAATTCTAATATAATGATTTTATCTGTTTTTTTTTTAAATTAAAATGAAGGGAAAAATAGCTAATTCTGAATGGCTAGAGTGTGGGTGTATTTCTACCACACCCACACCCCACTCTGAATGGAATAAGGTTTTGTAAGGCTTTTGAGTAGATTTCGTGTGGAACATAGATGATTTTAAATGAAAACACAAGTTTTGTTGTAGAATAAGGGCTTAAAAGACCTGTTATGTTGGAGAAGTTTCCTGTGGAGTGTTTTGTTTTCCAAACGAATCCATAGAAATAGAATAAGACTTTGAAAAGTTTTTCAGATCATTATCACCTTCAAGTTGGGTTATGTTCATGGCAAAAAGGAACTTTTACTAAAGGAGCTCCTGGAATGAGGTTCAGTAGAAGGGTCTTGGAAAGGCCTATGTTCTGGAAAGGTTTTGAGATGTTCTTTTCTCGAAAAAAACTTGAAAGTACTTTTAAAGGTGTTTGGTTGAAAGCCCCCTAAAGGCATTTTCGTAGCATTTTTGTCGGTTACTACGAAAATAGTGTAATTTCCAGATCGAAATGAATGGTTTGTAGCAGAGTAAGAGGTTGAGAAGCATTTTATATGATGAACAGAGGTGGTTTAGATGGTTCGGAAATAGACAAATGAATTTGATCTGGTAATAGGCCTTAGATACTTTGTAAAGGACAAATGGGGATCGGTAGTGTACAGGATTATGGACTTTTTTGTCGATAATTAGTACGGCAATTTACGATCAGAATTTTATCGTATACGATTGTTTTCGATCGTTTACAGTCACCGTAATCATCGATCTGGATAGCAATAGCGTCATTATTAAACAGTCATATGCATGTCTAGAAAGACATACATAGATGGATTTATGTCGAGTGCCACCATCTATATAACAATGTAAAACTGCGTCTGATCAACTTAGTTTTTCTTGGTTTATCCAATTTTACTTTCGAATAATAATTGGGATCAGCTAGTTTCAATTTTGCCAGCAAGTCACTTGCTAATTGTGTCTGACCGCCTTGTTCACACTCTTGTGCAATGTCAAAATAGCGATGTAGTGTAGCGGAACGATTAAGAAGAAAAAAATTGAAACCTATTCGAGCTATGTTCGTATAACACTCTAAAGCTAAATCCCAAATTTTTCTTCTTCGAAAACTTTGACCCAAGCAATCATAAATAAGAAATTCAATATCAGGTGAATCATGCAACCCTTTCGATGACTTGTAAATTCTTAATGCTTCCTCTTGATGTGCCCACGCTAAATCAAATTCTCGAGTTTCACTGGTGACGTAACCTAAACCTGTATGACAGAGAAGCGGTGATAATGGATAGAGTAGCGTATAGTACTTTTTCACCGAATCAAAATTATTTTGTGTGTAGTTTTGAAGTAAATATCCAACTTTAATAAATTGAGCATATATTGAGGTTGCATTACCAATACGATCGTATTCACTCGTAAAATATCCGCCACTACAAAGATCTTGTGCCTCCTTGTCACTGATCAGTTGTAGTTGAACAAATGAAACATGTTGAACTTCGTCATATCTAACATCACCATATTTATGAAATATAGTACCAACAGTAAACAATGTTTCATTTTCATCGGGTACAGAACTTAAATATTGAGTATTCGCATAGACTTTGTTGGTTGTTTCTTTATCAATTTTCAGTTCAAATAGTACAGATTGTTTTCCCTCATCATTACCAGCTTGATCTGCTCCCGCAAAAATATTAAGGGCTAAATCACGGTTTGATGTAGTCGAAAAAAAACTATTTATATATATAAAATGATCATAGCGCGCTTTCTTCAATGTTTCGACTTCTTCCTTTGACATTAATTGTCCTCGATAAAGTTCAGTCGGTTCGTTGTACAGCTTTTTTCCATATTCTTGTTTAAGCTGATTATGTAAATCGACTATAAAAAAATGTAGCAGCAAAATTGCTTCAATATCTTGATGACGAAGCGCTTTATTCAGTACCCGATATAGAAATGTATCTTTTGTGTACCATAATATTGCGCGATTAGAACTGTAAGTTTCATTAAATTCATTCAAAGCTTTTTCGGTAGCTGTATTTCCTTTGTAGTAACTTTTAAATTTAGCAACACATACTTCCTTAGCATTGTGAACAGGTGTCATTTCTAGAAGAGCATCAATAAATAGGGGAAACCACAACCATTCAATCTTATATCGATGAACTTCATTCGTTGTTTTCTCTTCGGGTACTCGTTCAAAAATTGTCATAGGAAAATAGTTTGAATTTCTGACATCATCAGATAACTGTCGAAAAATATTTTTCCATATTTTGAATACACCTTTAATCTAGAATTTAAATAAAGTTACTTTCAAAAATGGACCTTCCTATCAACAACTTTTACTTTGATTTGTGTCAAGGACCACTGAAATGGTAAATAGTTATCATATGGATTGTAAATGTAAATTGCTCGTACTTGGTGTAGATCGTACATATCGGAGACTATGTTTTCAGCGAATTCTATCGAAACAATGAGAAAAACGCTTTCATACTCAGTCGTTTTAATATAATTTTTGCACGATTTTGGATCATCAAATGATCGAAAATAATCAATAATCGAACGCAGTTGTATTCGATCAGAATTTTTAATAGACTCCAGACCTAACCAGATGACAGTGAACTGTTCCTTATTTTCCGACCGATGATCAGAAAGCATTGGCAATAATTCAATATTTTCAAACGACGGTAGCAGAAATGAGGGACATGATAATAATTGTCGACGACGTCTACGTATTAAAAGAACAGAAACTCCTCCCACAATCAATGCACCAATTATTGAGCAAACAACAATAACGGCAATGATTATACTGCTACTCTTAACCTTAACAGAGATTGTGGTGAAGTTCGCCGGCATTACAGAAGTCGTTGATATAGGGGATTGAAATTTTGTTATCTCCACAGTAGTACCAGTAGAATAATTATGTATTTTTTTAGCTTTTAAATTACAATTTGATGTATCCAATCTGGTTAATGTAATTATGCTACTATTTTCACTGATGGTTAAATATATCAGTATGAATCCATATAATCTTCCTAAAACTTCAGTAATATCTGTCGAATATGGTGCCCATAAATTTAAAGTTTCCTTTTCACAATCTCGACCACTCAAATTTGAAATAAATCCAATTGATGTCTCATTAACAATGACAGATAATGTTCCATGTGGACAACAACATTGTGTTTTATTACATTCGTTATCGGACCATTGATAGTCGCCAAGCCATTCATATTGTTGTCCACATATTTCCAATGAACTAGTGATAATACATACAATTATGAACAGTAAAATTCTGTATTGTTGCATTATTTTAGCAATGATTTCTCACTACAAAAACGTTCCTACATTGATCACGACCCATATAATTCAAAAGTATGTTTTCGTAGCTAGAATAGTTTTATATCTTTCTTCTGGCTTATTAAAAAAATTATTTTTGTTTTCAATTACTTCTAAGTCAGGATGTGATGTAAAAACAGAAGTTTTGGTTTTCTGCCTTGTAGAACAATACTATATAACAAAAAGTTTTCGATACTATATTTTACGTTTGTGTTTCGTTAATCCTAAACAAAGAATCAATTCAGTACTGGAGTAAATGTCAGCATTGGAGCATGGTAATAATCCGATGAAAAGTTCGTTTTTTCACCGAAACCCGCATTACCAATTATACAGATAAGGCTCGTGAAAATGGTTTAACGACATCATATCTAAAACAATTGAAATCAAACAGAATAGTATCAGGTTTTCAGAAAAGAGAAGCTTTTGATGGATGGTGCGCGGTTTTCTACTGCTAAATCACTGATAACTATCAAAGGTTGTGTAAGATACTATCTTCTCGAGCATAGTGATCAAATATTATGCCATTCACCCCGCATCGCTGTTGTACTAATTAATGTAAAAGGGTTGACATATTAAAAGTGTCAAACCTCTGTGACTGTAAATTATAATGTGAAACAGACATGAACTTTTTTTTTGGGAACGTAAGGTATATAAACCTCCCTAAAAGTTTTAAAACTAAAGGTAGGTTAGAAGACGCGGATCTCGTATTGTGACAATCTCTTTATTGAATAATCAATCATTAACACTACAATTACTAGAGATTCCTTGTTTCTTTTCTTCTAAGTATATATTCTCCTGTCTTCTAAATTTTTACTCTGTGTTCTTTGTTTTTAATGTTGTTTTCATTTTCATCACTGTGGATTACGATGAAAGCAAAAACGCTTGATTAATATTCTCCTGTGAATAACATTTGAATAAATTCATAGTTGTCAGACACCCTGTGCTCAATATAACTTTCGTAGTCTAATGAGATCTAAAAACTTTTTCTTTCAAACTGGAGGCAAGAACTAGATTATAAGCTGATTTTAAAAATAAAACTTATTACAGTCATGATACATAACTGAAAATGCGATAAGAGATGTAACAGCATAGTTTTTTTTATCTCTACTAAAAATGACAGATGGGTACGTCATTGTTATGAGAACAGAGAAACTAATATCGTGATTGAAAGCCATCAGCTTACGTATCTTATTTTTCATTCATTAGGCCACCAAACCTAAATAGAAAATGAAAAATTTTCTCTTACTTATCGTCATAATTCGATTAATGCTCTCGCTAATCTGTTATAAATGTCGGTAAATAAATTTCGTACTCATTAAAATAAATATTTTGTTTGAAAGAGAATTATGCGAGATTATTAACTCATCGCAAAGAACACGAAAAAACCAATCAGACCACAAAAGATATACGAGAAAGGAGAAATAACAGAATGATTACAATTTACATACTATCTCCAACTGATGCAGTCCTGCTTAGGGTGGTCATTTAGTATTTCTTTAATAAATAAAGATAAATGAATGCTTTATTTTTAAAAAATAAAGATAAATAATCATTTATCTTTAGAAAAAGTAAATGTGAATGAATCATTTATCATTGAAAAATAAAGGAAATATAAAGGAATAAAGGATTATTTTTTTAGACCGAAAATGGGACTAAAAATGTTCCAGGATTACAGAAGTCACTTTCAAGAGAATTGTTTTTCATTGGACCGATGTGTTTTGACTGAAGCAAGACTCTTGAGAAGCAAAATCATATGGTAGTTTTTCACTAGTATTCAGTGAATTTAGATTAGAATAAAAGAAGACTGAATTAAAACTAGTATCATATTCTGAATCAGCATTAAAAACGGAACAAACCTATGTGTGTTTCGAATATTATTTCGATATTTTAAATTTTATCGAAAAATTCGCCCTACTCCCCCTCAGGAATTTTCGACAAAAAATGGATCTAACGAAACATTGTTTTTAACAGGTACAACTATACCATAAACTTGTAAAATAATAGTACAACGCAAACTGGAGTATTTTTAACCGATTATAACTACGTTTCCGTTGGGTCCAATTTTTGTCGGGGTGTGGGTGTGGGTGTGGGTGTGGGTGTGGGGGTGGGTGTGGGTGGGGGTGTGGGTGGGGGTGTGGGTGTGGGTGTGGGTGTGGGTGTGGGTGTGGGTGTGNTTTATGAAAATAAAGCATCGCACTTAAAAATGTTTTATTTTCAATGATAATAATTATTATCAATTAATCAAACTCTTAAAAAAAAAGATATTGTTTGTTAAATTTATCAAACTGTGTTTGAGCTAATTTAATAACAAAACAAACGGTTATATTAGTATAATATTTCTAATTAAAAATAAATAAATTTATTTTTGCCGATTGATGATTTATCTTTACAATGAAGAATTGTTAGTTCAATACAATTTCGTTTTGAATGAAGCAGTTTCAAGAACATTTTCTTCATGATGTTGTGTCCAAGTAGCAATTAGTCAATCAGTTATTTCAATAGACATTTCATTAAGTTTAATAGAAACACCACTAATAACACCATGTGAATGATCATTATCCAATAAATGAATTTTACCAGTAAAATTTTTATATCATGGAATTAATTTTTTTAATGTTATTACATCTGGATATTTTTTTTTGACTGATTTATTCGATTATTTAATTGACCTTATTGTTGAATGTAATATTTCATATTATTATTTTATGTTAATGGATTACAAGATGGCATATCAGTTGAATAACCAGTACCAATACTATGTGTATCATTAACAAGAACACTTGGAATAATTGGACAATACCATCCAGATTCAATACTCATACCATCTTCATTTAAATATGTTAATAATAATTCATCATTTTTATTAAATAATAATAATAAAGCCAGAAGACTAGAAAAAATCAAAAGGTTAAGTTTTACCTACAGAAAAATTTCTTTCTTTTAACATAAGTCGAGTAAAAATATAATGTGCTGAAGTTGCATCAAACCAGTATGTAAACATGCACCGAATTCATCATCTGGTATTAGAAAATTGATGCTGTTTGAACGAAAAAAATTCTATGCAAGACCAACAATTGTATTTGTTAATGATTGTTCATCATGATGATAATCTGAATTCTCAGCAACTTTACCAGCTAATTGTGCAACTTTTATTTCACATATTAAACTTTTTGTAAAACAAACAAACATGATTTTACGTTGATCAGGTTTAAGAACATCCTTAAAGATAAGAATTTAAGAAAAAAGAATAGGTTATTTTTTTTTATTAATTTACCATAATACTTGGAATAGCACGTTCAGTACTTGGTTTAGAAAAAAGAACAAGTTCTTTATTAATAAAATCATTAAAATTTATTTGTTTTGTATCTTTTTTAAATAAATAATCAGCTGGTAAATTTTGTTCACGTCTTTGATTAATGTCTTCAGTATGCCATTTAATCCAATCTTTACGATCATCACTTAATGCACTATTAAATGCTAATTGTATAGCTAAATCATCTTTTATTGAATCATATTTAAATATAATATGATGACGATCCATATTCGAAAAATATTCTTTAGCTTCTTTAGCTGTTGATGTACCCAAACCTGCAATTTTTCAATAAATATATTTTTATTATATTTATATGAAGAGAGGAAGAAAAAAAACCTTTATAGTANTACAAAACAAATAAATTTTAATGATTTTATTAATAAAGAACTTGTTCTTTTTTCTAAACCAAGTACTGAACGTGCTATTCCAAGTATTATGGTAAATTAATAAAAAAAACCTTTATAGTATTTGCATTTCCATTTTGGCCAATTTGGTGTTGATGCTTGTCATTGTTCAAATTGAGATATTGAATAAAATGGAATTACATCATTGCCTTTTCTAACCTAAGTTATCAGATAGTAAAAATTTAAATGGTTGGTTAATATCTTACTTTAAGAATTGATTGTAATGAATACTTCAATATAATCATATTTGAGTAAATTTGGCCATTTATAATGAATAAAATTAAAAATACACACCTTTAATATGGCTACCATCTTGATCTTGATCATTCATAATCATTTATTTTCTATAATGTAATTTCGATAGATCACTTCTATTGGCATATTTTTCACCATAATTTAAAGCAAGAATTTTAACTAATTGTGAAACTTCACTATTTTCTGTCATTTTTTTTTTAAATTGTTGCTTCTCTCTCATTTAATATTTTACCTTTTAATGGATAAACATCATAACGATCTCGACCGATAAGACCAAGGCCAACTACAGCAAGTGCTTTAGCTGAATCTCCTTCAGTTACAATTAATGTAGAATATTGAGAATTTTTTTGTTCCAGCATCATTGTCATCATCTAATTTCGATCATACCTTTTAATTTCGATGTTTTTGAACGACTTTGTTTTTGTAATTTGACATCTTGTCGATGTTCAAGCCAATTAATAACTGATTGAATAATACCAGTTTTTTAAATAATATCTTTCATCATCTTTTAATGGACATGTTAAACCAAAAAAGGTTTGCGTTCAGTTGCTAATTGTTTTTTAGCGTTGTGATTCAAATGTCCGGGTTTTCAATTAAACAATTAACAAATATAAACAAATGATTTTTAACCTGCATTAATTTAAAATTTTCAGCGGCAGCTTTACTTTTCTTTTTTATATGTTCAACAAGTTTTGGACAAATTTGTTCTATTATATAATCAACATGTTTACCACCTTTTGATGTTAAAATTGAATTAACAAAACTAACTTGTGTAAAACCATTATTTTGATCATTTTAAGCAAGACCAATTTCCCAACGATCATTTACTTTTTTATAAACAATTTCTTTTTCTGTTGTTTCGATGTACATTAACATGTAATCTTTCATATTTTTGATTGGTATTCGTTTGCCATTAAGTGTTACTTTACAATCAGTTGATACAGCTATATCATAAGCACGTCGTTTAAATAATGCAACAAGATCATCATCGAATTTATCCATTTGAAATTGTTTTAAATCGGGAATAAATGTGATATGAGTAAATTCTTTTGGATTATCACTTGTTTTTGTTATAATTGTATCTTGTGAGTGACGCATATTGTTTGTCCAAGTCTAAATAACTTTTATATTCAAATAGATAGAATGAGAAAAAAACATACTTGTTTAAATAAGTTTTTATATTCTTTTGAACATGTTTCAACGGTAAATTTTGTACTAAAAATATTTGTTGCCTTTGCACCATAACCATTTCTCGTCACCTATTGTAATAGAATAAAATTTAGAAAAAAAAAGCTTTGTGATGATTTCAAATCATACCGATAATCCGTTTTTGATCATCGTTGAAATTATCTGGTGTTTTAAGTTTACCAAAAATTAATGTTGGAATATAAATTGATTGATTTTGAGCCCATTTACGAACAGGAATACCACGACCATCATTACAAATTTTTATTTCATCTTTTTCTCTAAATGATAGAAATGAATTTGTTTTTCTTTTTTCGTTGAAGAATAACTTACTGATTGATATCAACTTCAATAAATGTCATCGTTGAATCACGTTGTTTATTATCAGTAGCATTTACTAAATTGAATATAAAGAGTGTCTATGGAATAGTTTTGAATAGTGAAAATTGTTTTTTTTTTTACCGAGAATTTCATCAAAAATTTTCTCGAGACCAGGTACATAGGTAATTTCTTTTTTGATAATTTTTGGTCCTTCTTCAGCTTTTTCATCAAGAACCTGCATTTCCTATAAGTAGTAATTATAGAAAAAATTTGAAGAAATAATCATCTTACTTGTTGACATGATTTATTTCAACCAATATGTTTCAGATCGTTGAAAAGTGTGATCAAGTTGTTTGAGAAGTTGATAAGTTTCTTTATCTTCATTTGATGTATCTATCGATGATGAATTTATTTATTGAAGACGCTATTACAAAAACAACGTTATCCATAAAATAGCATTTACAAACAAATATAACTCAAGATACTTGTCTATTGCTGCACTAAATCTAAAAATGAATCATAGTTAGATGTGAAACAACTTTTATCTATTCCTCTGTTTAAATAATACAAGTGAGATGACTTTTATCCCTAGTCGAACATCTTGTAAGCAAGATCTTGAAATCTTGGGACCGATAAGCAAGATCTTAATAAGATCTTGAAAAGATTATTTGTATGTGCATATCTTAGTTGTATCAGATAAATCTGTGCTTAAGATCTTGACCAGATCNTGATACAGATTCATGTCTTTGTAGTATTCTATGTATATTTCTAGTATGGTTTTGGAACTCTTATCGTACTCCCTGGATTTCCACTGTACTCCCAGGATTCCCATTGTACTCCCGGGATTCACATTGTACTCCCAGGATTCCCACTGTACTCCCAGGATTCCCATTGTACTCCCGGGATTTCCATTGTACTCCCGGGATTTCCATTGTACTCCCGGGATTTCCATTGTACTCCCGGGATTTCCATCGTACTCCCGGGATTTTTACTGGATTTTTCAGGGATCCGGTATCCCAAAAATCCGCCGTTTCCCCCTAGCCAGGGACTCTCTATTTACTATAAAATTTTCAAATTATTTCAACGTTCTCTCGAGGAATGAATACTTTTGCACTGAGACCAAGAAATGCATGTTTGGGTGAATTTCACAAGGTAATATAAATTTTCGATTATGCTGGGTTTCATAGCACCATTGGTTATCAGACTTAACGCACTTTCAGATTTGGTACACCAATAATGTTACACCAGTGGCACACTATAGTTCCACTATAGGTGTGTGTTCTCGCTTTTGTTGAAAGTTTACACGTATTAATACAAAAATGTATAAAAAGCAAAAAAGAAGATTTTTTTTCAAAAAAATCTTTTCTTTCTTTCTTTTTATACGTTTTGTATTAATACATGTAAACATTTTGTTTTTCATTCATTCTTCTGATGATGCCAAGTGATATTTTTCGAAAGCTCGAGATACAATAATTTGTGATTTGAAATAAAATCTTAAAGTATTTCGTTGCATTTCGATACCATTTATTTCGTTATTCTCCAAGCTTGTTCATCGGCATGGATATTTCCTTCGCATCCACCTCCTATATATAGAACGTGATTCCACTATGAACGACAGTCAATCCGGTATTGATCTGCTTTGATTTTTAGAGTTAGCCACCTGAGAGACTCTCATCCTTTCACAGTTCTGCTCTGTCTGCTATTTTTTCGGTTCTGTTATTGTACGCACTCAGTAGGCACGCTCTTTCTATACTGTCTTGTTTCGAGTATGTTCAGATACATTCCATATCTTTTTCCTCATGTTCTGTCTGGATATTTTTCAGTGCATTCTCTTTGTCCTTAGTGTTTATATATATGTACAGGGTATCCGAAAACTCCGCCGGAAAAGTAAATTCGTAGAATTCCTCTATTTATCAAACTTAATCAATCAATTTTTTTTCAGATGGTACATCTCAGTGTGAAGTTTTGTTTGTATGAACAAACTTTACAAATACTGTTCAAAGTTATAACTTTCGACTGAAACAGCAAAATCAGTCATTTTTCTACCTACTTCACAGTGTTTCTCTTTCAATACCTCAATTTTGCAAGTTTCTTTTTTGTAACTTTTATATCAGTCACATTTTACGCTGTCATTTATATGCATTCGTTGTGATATGTCAGTGAAAACTAAACCTAATAACGTCAAGTTCCAAGATCTTGAAGCTTATGAGATCGGTTTCTCTCCTTCAGCCCATCGGCCACTGTTTCAAAAGTTGAAGCGATTTTGTGAACTTCGTGATCTTGAAATTTGACATTATTAGACTTATTTTTCACTGACATATCACAATGAATGCATATAAATGATAGCGTAAGATATGACTGATATAAAAGTTACAAAATAAAGCGCGAAGTTGAGGTATTGAAAGAGAAACACTGCGAAGTAGGTAGAAAAAGGACTGGTTTTGGTGTTTCAGTTGAAAGGTATAACTTTGAGTAGTATTTGTAAAGTTTGTTCGTACAAACAAAACTTCACACTGATATGTATCATCTGAAAAAAATTAAGTTTGATAAATAGAGGAATTCTACGAATTTACTTTACCAGCGGACTTTTGGAACATCCGATATAATATATATGCGTATAGTTCGTCGAATAAACCACTTATTTTACGGTCCTGCGTACAGATAAATTACCTTCAAGGATCTACTTCTGCTCTATGATCATCACAGCTTCGTCCAATCTCAAGGGCTTATCAACAGTAAGTACAATATATTTTCTGTTTTTTCTTGTGTTATGAAAGTTTTCAGCAGACAGTGTAAACTCGTATATTTGTGTGATATATCTTGTTGAGCTTGTGTACAGCAAGAATGGTGGGTAAAGAATTTTCTATCGAAATGAAACGTATATATTTTCGCGTCATTCCATTTACGGAATCAGAGAAAAATGGTGCAAAAATCCCTCTCAACAATACAAAAGAACGTTGTCAAGCCTGTCTTGGACTTTCGAGAACATCGATTAATAACCTGAAGAAAGAGATGCGCGAATTCAAAGAGCAAGAACAACAACAGCAGCAACAGAAACAAAAAGAACACGAAGGAAAAAATAGACATGGACACGCTCTCCGCAGTCGATTTTGTGATTGTCGAATCTTTATCAACAACCTCCGCTTCCAATATCATTACCACAACAACATCGCGCACAACATCACCATCTGCCAATAAGAGTGCAAGTCATCGCAAACGTGAGTTCTTAAGCTCGGACGCGAAATCATTTATTTCCGTTCCTGAGCCACCACCACCGAAGAAACAAGACAATATTGGTCGAAGGCCAATAATTTTGAGTTCTTTGCCGGAAGACACCATTCGATGTGTGTTTCAGCAAATGCTTAGCGAGAAAATCTACCCAACAACAGTCACACTTCTGCTCGATTACAAGCGGAACATCCGGACTTCCCTATTTGAATCGAATCGATTCTTCTCAGAAACATGAAGTGACTCGATTTCAAATATCGGACGACATCGAAAGTCACTATCGCTCTCGAGTAAGTTTGAAAAATATGAATATCAACCATATCAACAAATACATCTACGTTCACTTGATTTTTTTCTACGGTTTAGTTCGATAGCGTTCATGACTCAGCGGACCACATATTTTCATATCCTTGATGATATGCGTGCTGACAATGCTCGTGTGTACTATCACGATGAGACTTGGTGCCGCGTCGGTGAGGAACAACGTTCGATTTGGTTTAGTGATCTTGGTGAAGGTCGGCTTCGAAAGAGTAACGGCAAAGGAAATCGCCTCGCTATCTCAGTAGTGATTGATGAGCACGGTTTTGAAAAAGGATACGATTAATATTTTTACGTGCGATAAAGAACATTCAATGAACAGCATTCACTTCATCAATTGGATCCGAAAGGCTGCCTCGCACTTGCGTCATCGTCATCCTGAACCTAGTCGAATTTGTATCGTGATAGATAATGCCACTTGGCACAATGAGTTGTGTGATGATGTTGAGCCACCTAAGCGATCGTGGTGAAAAGTACAAGTAGAAAAATGACTTGATCAGCATAAGATCAAGCTCGATGTCTCGATGAAGAAGGCACAGTTGTTAGAATTACTATCCATTTCAAAATAGAAGATGAGCGAAGAAAATGGCAATAGCTCCGGAACGCAAGCAACTAGCGATCTGCGGTTTTAACCATTCGAAAGAGGAGACTGGGTGACGTAGGTATTGAAGAAAAAGAAAATTTTCCATCGTATTCCTACAGGTTTTCCAGAAGGATCTCTGAAAAACCATCTCGTCGATCGAGGAAACTTTGGTTGATTTTCGATCCACATTAAGTCTTTTGATAGCCTATAATCTTTCTTAGGCAGCCACAGAAGTCGGAGATTTTTTCATTCTTCCATTTGGACACCAGACCTCACGGACCAGAACCCCCGAAAACAATGCTTTTCAACTTGACCGAGCTCGGAGTCGCATGAACACATAGGTTTTCGATAATGCTAAACATTATGACAACGTTTGTTCTCTTCTTCGAACCGAGAAAAGGTCATTACACAAGGGTTCACAAGATGATGGGTTTTCGGTACCACACGGCTTTTAATGAAATGGCCACAGCTCAGTCATTTTACAGTCAACCGAGCCGAAACTTTCAGAGCAGGGTCGAAGGATGTCTCTAGTCATGATACAAATGAAAAAACACAAATTTGTTTCCTGAAAACTAGAGGGTTTTTCAGAAGGGTGTGGGTGGGGGTGGGTCTGGGTGTGAGTGGGTGTGGGTGTGGGTGGGTGTGGGTGTGGGTGTGGGTGTGGGTGTGGGTGTCGGTGTCGTGATGTGTTGGTGTAATGTGTGAGTGTGAGTGCTGGTGTACTCTGAAAAAAAACATAAGGTACCATACGGAGCCAAAAACTTTTTCGTCTTCGCTACAAAAATTGAAAAAGGTTTCGAACTTTCTAGCGAAATTAGAACCTTTTGAGGATTCGTAGGTTTTCTACGAAACCCTTGAAAACGTTTCCTGAGCTCTTGATAATCATTTTGAGACTATGTTGGTTTTTTACGGAACTCTTTTGATGGTTTTGAATTCGTTCCAAAAATGGTTTCGCATGGTATCAATTTTTTTCAGTGTTTCCTGCGGATGTGAGTGTGGATCGGTATGAGTCTCCTCTTAATCTACAGTCACACCCCCACTTCCACCCTGAGTTATCCTTCATTGCTGTATAATCTACAACACTACAGCGGTAAAACAAAGTAAGTCAAACT